TACCTACCTACCTATCTATCTATCTATCTATCTATCTATCTATCTATCTATCTATCTATCTATCTATCCACCTACTTTTAACCCATTTGTAACCCCCTGAAAGTGGATCTCTTGTAAGCAGCATGAACTACTCAGACTGGAATTACTTTTAATATTGTCCCTACCTACCCCACTGCTCCTTCTCATTCTCATCTGTTTCTTCCAAGTTCCCTATGGCTACGTGGGGAACCCAGGTCTGCAGACTGAGGACAGTGCACTGGCTTGCTCCACACGTGGGCATGTGTCACTCCACACGTGGCAGGGTGATGTGGTTGAGAAGGTGACATGTGAGTTCTCCGTGGGGACAGCGGCAAGGTCAAAGGCTTTCATGTCCCTTGATTACAAATGACACTGCCCCATGGTTGCCCTGAAGGAAAGGAAGCAGCAGTCACAGCCTCAGGATCGGCAGAGCAGGGATCGACAGTAAAGCCCGCTCTTCAGTGCTCGTAACTCCTCCACCTGACAAGCGCTGCAACGCATGGCATACTCAAGAAAACACGCATGTCTCCCCTGACAGTCTAACAGAATTTAAAGAAAACGCGCACGTCTCCCTGACAGTCTAACAGAATTTAAAACCCATCAAGAGGTCTTCCTCTCACTGCCCAGAAATTGCCTTCACTTTACAGGCACGATGCTAAACACTTTCTCCGTCACCAGGTGGACACCTCGTCCATGGAGCTTGCATTTGGACACAAGAAGCGATCTTCCTGAAGCTCTGAGTGGCTCTTCCCAGGAGGGACAACAGGGATGGGAAGGGGACTGGGACAAGGAGGCAGATAGTTCAGCACAGAGGGAACAGATCAGGCAGGCAGACAGCGAGAAAAGGGAGGCAGCAGGCCACAGGAAGTGACCTCACAGGCATTGGCCACAGCAGGGACCCTGGGTTTCATTATATGATATATAAGGAATCACTACAGATGGGGCTCTGGCTTTGAGAGTAAAATGGCTTCTAAATGCCAAAACACATCTTACCACTCAGATCCCCTTCTCTCCTTGACCTTGTCATGCTGCGAGAAAGGGCATTTGGGACACCCTTGGAGGTAGGGGTTTGTGAAGAAGGCTGACTGGCAGTCAGGGTCCACGCGAGGCGGGGCGCCAACTGCTGCCGGAGGCCATCACCAACTCCTGGAGCTTGATGCGACTGCCTAGAGGAATGAAACATTTCGGCTTCAAACACCTAGAGACACAAGTGTGCTACGAGCTATGTTACTACACTACTACACTACTGTGTAAATCTGATACCTAGAGACACAAGTGTGCCACGAGCTGTGTTATTACATTACTACACTACTGTGTAAATCTGACACCTAGAGACACAAGTGTGCTACGAGCTATGTTACTACACTACTGTGTAAATCTGATACCTAGAGACACAAGTGTGCCACGAGCTATGTTACTACACTACTACACTACTGTGTAAATCTGACACCTAGAGACACAAGTGTGCTACGAGCTATGTTACTACACTACTGTGTAAATCTGATACCTAGAGACACAAGTGTGCCACGAGCTATGTTACTACACTACTACACTACTGTGTAAATCTGACACCTAGAGACACAAGTGTGCCACGAGCTATGTTACTACACTACTACACTACTGTGTAAATCTGACACCTAGAGACACAAGTGTGCTACGAGCTGTACACTACCTCACTACTGTGTAAATCTGATACCTAGAGACACAAGTGTGCCACGAGCTGTGTTATTACATTACTACACTACTGTGTAAATCTGACACCTAGAGACACAAGTGTGCTACGAGCTATGTTACTACACTACTGTGTAAATCTGATACCTAGAGACACAAGTGTGCCACGAGCTGTACACTACCTCACTACTGTGTAAATCTGATACCTAGAGACACAAGTATGCCACGAGCTATGTTACTACACTACTACACTACTGTGTAAATCTGATACCTAGAGACACAAGTGTGCCACGAGCTATGTTACTACACTACTATACTACTGTGTAAATCTGATACCTAGAGACACAAGTGTGCCACAAGCTGTGTTATTACACTACTACGCTACTGTGTAAACCTGATGCCAGGAGTCTCCCAACCCACAGACCCCAGCAGTCAGCCCCAGGCCCCCTGCACTGTCGGGGATACAGACGCAGCATTCAGACCTACTCCAGGGAGAGAGCTCACCCTGCTGTCTGTACTTACCTTCCTGATTCGAGTTCTTTACAAACACAAAGCACACATCATACATACACTCACGAAAGCAGTTTGAAATTCTAAAGTAGTTTTAATGCCAAGATCACAGCCTGTCATTCATTCAACTTTTATTGAGTTGATAGGGTTCGACATCCGGGCCCTGTCTCATCTGCTGGTCGCCAGCCCCCACCCCCACTCTTGTATGCACACTCTGGAAGGAGACCCTGCCATTTTAATTCATTTGACAAATGTGCAAACACATAAAATGTAAGGCAAAGTGCAGTCTCTCTGTGAATATCTAAGAACCCAATACTGACAACTATAACAAAGCCACTGCTTCTTGGAACACTGAAATAACCACAGGGCTCAATTACATCTGCTGCCCTAGGGGTGCTCGGGGAAGCCATTCTGTCCTGCCCCGCCCTCAGTGTGAGGAGCCCCGCCCTCAGTGTGAGGAGCCCCGCCCTCAGTGTGAGGAGCCCCGCCCTCAGTGTGAGGAGCCCCACCCTCAGTGTGAGGAGCACCGCCCTCAGTGTGAGGAGCCCCACCCTCAGTGTGAGGAGCACCGCCCTCAGTGTGAGGAGCACCATGTTCAATACCTTCGGTGCCATTTTATAACTTGGTGACTTGTGAGTCTACTGTGCTCTAATGGAAAACATTGTGCTTTTGATGTCGATTCTCTGATCACAGCTCCTCTGGAAAATTACCCAGCTCTGTCTTGTCATACTGTGATCACCAGGAATGACAGTGGCAAGACGCTAAGCCATCTATCTGTTTACCTACACACAAAAATGTGTACTTAACAGAAAAGAATCCAAAGGTGAAGGTCCATGAACCACATGACCTTTACTCTCAGACAGGAATGCCATCTTAACTCCAAACACTGCCTCGTCCTAGCTGCACAGTCCTGGCTTCCACCCCCATAGCTCACAGCATTAACCATGAGTCTAAAAGTCACAGTCGAAGGACAATTCGCCCTGCTACTTCCTCAAAGAGTCTACTAAAACCTGGTGGCAGACCTATGACCTACAGCACTGAGACACATGAAATGCCCTAGAAACATGGGCAAGACAAGCTACTGGATGCTACTGGTTCTATCATGGTGTGTGTGTGTGTGGTGTGCGTGTGCGTGTGTGTGTATGTACACACGTGTATGTGAGCTCATTACCCAGGGAGGAAAGGCTGCACAGGTGTGGGGCCACTGAGGCCACACATGCCAATGCTGCTGATGCCACTGCTGCCCAAGCTGCCGGAGCTCTGTGCCTGTGTGCTTCGGTCCTGGTAGTTCAAGGGAAGGGTCTGAGGCCTGGCACAGTAGTAAGGCGTTGAGTGAGCATCTCTTGGTAACGCTTGTGCAAACAATGAAGCATAGCTCGTTACCTGAAATGAAGTGCAGTGTAAACACACAGGTAAGAAATCACAGGACAATTTGCCAAACCCACAGGGCCTTTATATTCCTATCCCCATGCTATTTCTGGACTTGGATTGGAATTTCACACTTATTCAAGTCGGCTAATGAAGATGCTTTTCAGTTGTTATAATTGACATTATTAGGTGTCCTCTAAACTCTAAACACAAACACATTTGCACGTCTATCACCAATACAAAACAAGGAGATTGTAAAAATCCTCCACCGACACTCCTCAGCTTCTTGCCAGTGAAATGCTTGCGGAACATTCTATTGTACTAGAGCCCACAGCAGGGAAGAACACAGGGTTATACGGCAGAAAGCCTGCTGGTAAGACAGTGACAAGTGCTCCCAACACCTGGAAGCAAAAGAACTCCCATGATTCCCAGCTCAGGAAGGTCCCAATTTCACAGGGTCAGTTCTTTCACGACTTGGGCTGCTCGGAGCACACTGTCACATCAGAGTGGCATCACTCTTAAACACATCTTCTGGGAAAGAAGGCCTGACGTGACTTCCAGGCTCCGTGGGTGGCCTGTTGCTTTTCTCCTATTATCTCCAGTCCTAAGAGAGAGGGGTGCAGCCACCCCACAAGCGCGCAGAGGCACACTCACCCACCTTGCTCAACCACCCCACAAGCGCGCAGAGGCACGCTCACCCACCTTGCTCAACCACCCCACAAGCGCGCAGAGGCACGCTCACCCACCTTGCTCAACCACCCCACAAGCGCGCAGAGGCACGCTCACCCACCTTGCTCAACCACCCCACAAGCGCGCAGAGGCACGCTCACCCACCTTGCAGGCTTGCTTGCGAGGATCCTCACTAAGGTTCAGCAAGAGGTAGAGGATTGACCATGTGTTTTTCAAAACTCCCTGTTAGATTAAAAATAACATTACAAGAGCTATTGCCTTTCCTGTTTTATTATTCATACTGATTTCCAACATAGACATAGAGTTTAAGATTCACCGTTAACATTAACCTAAGCTCACTCCATGCGTCATAAATGGCACTACCCCTCAGAAGGTAGAGGCAACACTCTGTAACCAACACCCCCAGGTCCTTAACTCCTGGAAACAAATCCTAAAGTTACCCTGCTTTTGATTAACAAAACTTACCAAACACAGTGGTGGTAAAAGAAATATTATCAAAATCTGTGGATTAAGCTGGGTGTGGTGACACACACCTTTAATCCCAGCATGCAGGACACAGACACGTGGATCTCTGTGGGTTCAAGGCCAATCTCATCAATACAGTGAGTTTCAGGCCAGCCAGGCATACATACTGTGGCTTTGTCTCAAGCGGGAAAAAATTATTTTTCTAGAAACAGACATGCAGGCAAATTACACAACTGGAGAGGAATCTTTAGAAATCCAGCCATGAGAAACAGAAGGTAGTGCTTGCTTCGGCAGCACATATACTAAAATTGGAACGATCCAGAGAAGATTAGCATGGGCCCTGCGCAAGGAGAAACAGAACGTATAAACAGATCCGTGGACTAAACCAGACCCAGGCACTGCAAGTACAACGAAGGGCCTGTACCATGGAAGGGCGGGCCCGGGAACCTGTGCTGGGCTCCTCAGGACATGGCACTCACAGCAGGGGTGGCTGGAAGACATGAAGGAAGACAGTAGCAGCCTGGAAAGCAGGCAGGCCTCTCAGGGTCAGTGACTTACCCAGGCTCACCCTGGCCGGGCAGTCAAGCTCTGTATGCCCCACACAGCCTGTCTCTGTCTCTCTGTCTCTGTCTCTGCCTCTTTCTCTCAATTCTTTGTCTCCTCAGCCAGTCAGCCATTCAGAAACACCCCCAGGGCCAAGCACTCTATGTCATCACTATGATGCCAAAAGACAACTCCCTTCATCCACAAAGGAAAGGAGAGCAAAGAGATTCACAATGGTGAGTGAGTACAGGACTCAAACACGGCTGTCCTGCTTCAGCTGTCAGTGGAAGGCTGACGTAAGGACTGCCGAGAGGCGTCAAGATGGCAATGGACACATAAAGAGAGGCACACTGCCTATAGACACGTACAGCTACAGAGACACAAAGAAGAAACAAGAGGAAGACTCCATCTAGCTCAGAGGGTGCCAGGCTTCACGGCCCGAGGGCGTTCCCCTAGGACTGCAGGGGTAGAAACACGGAGGGAAGACCTCTCCCTCTGTGATAAAGTCAAGGCCAGAATCCCAGCACTCACTCAGAAAGGGCGTGGCTGGAGAGAAGAGGAGCACACGAATGAACAAAACGTGCATACAAAGATCTGTCAACGGCACATTAGGAAGCAGGTCATAACTTTCTTACTACACATGCGCAGCTCAGCGAGTCTCCCCAGATCTGAGTCGCAGGAGTGTGCCACCACGCCGAGCTTCGGAGAGGCTTCTTTTACATAGGGAACAGCTATTAACAGCCAAGTGAAGGGGTTTATTTAAGAGTTTCACCGTGTGCTGAGGTACAGGCAGGAACAGGGAAACAAGAGGCTGTGGCCACCAGGAACCTGCCGTTCACGGAGTGAAGACGGCCTTGCCAGGGCCCACAAGGACAAGACACAAGGGCTGCACAGCAGCCAGGAGTCACAGTTCACTCTGTCTCCACCCTCCCCACCCAGCTACCTCACTGGCACTGCAGCCAGTTCCAGCTGAAGCCCAGATGGTAGCAAGCAATCAGCCACGCTGCGACCACACCGAGGACTGAGCTCACCATAGCTAACCCTCAGAACCAGCCACCTCAGATTCCTGCCAGGTGAGGTAAGTGCCTTGATACAGACACACGGCTTCATGCACCGGGCGTCAACTGGATTTAAGTGTGGACAAACAACATCCAAAAGCGGGGCGCCATGAAAGCAAAGGCTTCTGAGGAGTGAGTGCGTGCTCGGCACCTGCCATGGCCTGGGACTTCACGCTCACGCAGGAGCCGCCCAGGCCACACTGCAACACGCTCAGGACCCCGCTGCCTTGTATCACACCAGGATCCCCTGCCCCGGCTTTGAAAACAACACGCACCCTGAGCCCTTCTCCCCAGGGCACCCCGTAGCCCCCATAGCACATGTGACACCTTCACTGGCCAGAAAGCAGGACAAAACAGTATCAGTGGCCGTTGTACCTTGAAGAGCTGGATTTTTTTTTAAGAGCTGGATTTTTTTTTTAATCAAAAAGATAGAACAGTTACTTATCTGGGCACATTTCCTGTATTAGTGTTAGGCCACTCCCAGTTTTTAAAACATGGTTCATCTCCAGGGTGAAAAATTCAACTAGGTTGGTTTTGTGGGCTAACTGGTAAGAAGCCATTTATAACAATGCTTAGAAACCATGGGAGGGGCTTAGCCATGTAATCCACAACTACGGGAGACAGAAGCAGGAGGATGGCTGTGAGCTCAAGGCCAACACGGGCCACACAGTGCTCTTCAACACAGCCTGGATTAAAGAGTTAAAGACCATCTCAGAAAACAGAGACATATGATAGATGGCTGGATGACAGGTGCATAGATAATAGATGGATGATTGATGATTGACAGATGATAGGTAGATGGATAATAGATGGATGATGGATGATAGACAGACAGACAGACAGACAGACAGATGATACATAGGATACATGACAGGTAGGTAGGTAGGTAGATAGTAGACAGGCAAGCAAACAAGCACAGGAGTAAACAGTTTTAAACAAACTTTCGGAAAACAAGCTTCTAAAATCTCAGTTTCCCAAGTGTACCTCTACCCAGTGGTCACAGCATCAGACACAACAGGTTTTGCTGCAGAAAACTACCTCTGTGACCGCAGCAGGGCCAAGCGGCTCTCTAAGCACAGCACATTAAACGCCTCTGTCATACCTCAAGTGCAGACGTCAGTCACAGGAGGAGAGAGACGGAAGAAAGGCGGAAGTGATGCTACAGTTGGAGACCACTCTCTGCACATAAGGCTCTCATCCTTACTCCACAAGCACTTTCTGAGATGGAGAGGCATTCCAAAGGCAGTGAACAAGTCACTCAAACCGCACTAAGGAACCGACGCTCTCATTCCAGCCACAGAGAGACAGGACTGGAGGAACCTACAAGAGCTCAGTCCCGCAGTCCTGGTCCCCTTCGCACTGTCTCAGGCTGCCAGACCTGTCAAGCAAACACTGAACTCTGGTCCTGAGGCCTCTCTACAGAGGAAAGAAGAAAGCTGGGTGAACCAGTTCTTCTGCGGTCAGAAACCACAAAATCTCAACTTGTGGTGCAAGTAGCTTTTTGACAGAGGCGGACAAATCTTTATCAAAATATTAGATTAGGACAATTTTCAAGTATCAGTATCTAATCGCAAAGGGTTCAAAAAATTTTACCCTTTAGTTATTCACTACATTGTTAAAATGAAATGCTCACAGATAACTGCATCAGCCATGGGAGCTTCTGCAGTGGCAGGACAGACCTGGACATCCACCAGCATGCCTACTCCTGGCAATGTCATCAAAGTCATTGCAGTACAAACTGGAGAGCCCAATTCCTATCCAACAGGACACATCAGCGTTTAACAGAAGTTCAGCTGACACTTAGCTCTAACTGGCCTCTTAAGAGGAAGAGCTATCTACACTAAAAGCCATTAGTGACTGCAGGGAGTTTGAAAAGACAGCACCCAAGGATGGTCAAGCATTCCCAAGCCATTCTCCATTCACGCCATCCAGAACATGGCACTGTACCTGCGAGTGAAGCTTTCTGTGCAGCTCTGAAAACAATGCAGCATCTGCTTCTCTCCTTTGTCGAATAACTGAAAATGTAGAAAGGGAATTGAGCCCATTAGTTGCATGAACCAAGATTCAGTGTTAGGAAATCATTTCTTCTGTGCTAACAGACAGGGCAGTGCTGGAAGAATCCTGAGCCTAAGAATCCAAAGTACAGGACAAGGAGACTTTCAGCAATGTCGATTCCGTCAGCTCATCCAGCCCTTCTGTGCACATAAAACACTAGGATTATCGGGCTGGAGAGGATGAAGAGGGCTGTCTGCAATACTGATCCACAGCAAGGCAAACTATCAACTCTACGAATTAATAACAGCTACCTGGAGGGAGAGAGGGAGAGAGGGAGGGATGGGGGAGGAGGAGGGATGAAGGGACAGAGGGATGGATAATGAATTCACAGGATCACCGCACATGACAGTTCATCTGATTTAAAAAGCCACATTCCAGCCAGGTGTAGTGGTACACGTCTTTAATCCTGGCACTCAGAAGGCAGGGGCAGGAGGACCTCTGCAAGTTCAAGGCTGGTCTTGCTGACCAACCAGGCCTACATAGGGACGAAACCTTGTCTCAAAAAAAGTCACATTCTAGCCGGGCGGTGGTGGCGCACGCCTTTAATCCCAGCACTCCAGCACTCGGGAGGCAGAGGCAGGCGGATCTCTGTGAGTTCGAGGCTGGGCTGGACCGACAGCCTCCAAAACAATACAGAGAAACCCTGTCTCGAAAAAAAAAAAAAAAAGTCACATTCTAACATTTTTGCTAAGATGTGCAGCAGTAGTCTATCTTGCTTCAGTATAAAATAACCACTGTTATTAATTTTATTTTCAATATTTTATTGTTCATTATTGTTGACTATTTTATTAATTTTGTTTTTTTTATTTTTCGAGGCAGGGTTTCTCTGTATTGTTTTGGAGGCTGTCCTGGAACTCGCTCTGTAGACCAGGCTGGCCTCGAACTCACAGAGATCCGCCTGCCTCTGCCTCCCGAGTGCTGGGATTAAAGGCGTGTGCCACCAACGCCCGGCCTACTATTTTATTAATTATTAATAATTAATCATATCTTTTCATTTTAGTAATAAATGTCTGGATATTCCAGTTCTGCTCACAAATCATCATAAGCAGCAGGAGTCAATAGCAAATCCAGTCTATGTTCTGTTCCATGATAGGCAGAAGTCACAGACCAGACATGGGTCCCTTGAGGAACACACAGTACACAGAGGCCTCTCAAGAAAAATACACTGCCTACTAGGAAGTGCACCACATTTAAAGCCAACTCAGGAGCTGGAAATATTGGGTACCTAATCCTACACTCAGGACACAGAGGCAGAAGGATAGGGTTTGAAGCTGCATAGTGAATTCTAGCCACCTGATCCGGCTCCCGCACTAAGCCATGAACTAAACACAGAACTCTTTTTTGTTAATCTGATTTTTGAGAAAGGGCTCACTACGGAGTTCTTGTTGGTGTGGAACTCACTATGTAGACCAGGATGGCTTTTAACTCAGAGCCATTTGTCTGTGTCTACCAAAGCTCTGGAATTAAAGGCTTGCACCACTATGCCAGGCAAACTACATAGAGACAGGAATGACTCTAATCCTGGCACATTGAATTAACCCATTAACCACACACAGGCAAGAATGGATCTGACCCTGTACCCTGCATTAACCCTATTAACCAAATATTGACAGGAATGGCTCTAACCCTGGTACCCTGCATTAACCCTATTAACCACACATAGACAGGAGTGGATCTGACCCTGTACCCTGCACAAAGAGACAACGTAATCCCAGGCACAGCTGTTGT